TCTTTGTCCCTTAGGGCTACAGCGCTCGGGCTCTTTGAACACCTAGGCTCCATGGGCCAGTTACTGGAGGAAGGGACCTCTCCTAGGCAGGTGCGCCGGTTCCGTGATGAGAAAGGGAGAGGCTGGGAGCCCTGTCGCCAAGCCGTAAGGGATCTAAAGCGCCTACCTTTGTCCTTTCCACCCTCCCCCCACTCTGGTTCCAGCCAAGAGCCTGAATGGAAAGAAGAGAGGGTCCTGCCACCTTCTGCACTAGCCTTTTTTGATCCGGACAGTAGTGTAGGGAGGTAACTAACAGGAGAGCTGGTTGGTCTGAGGTAATGGGAAAGAGAGATGCAGATGGATACTCTGAGTCATTCCTCTCCATGTTTGGTGTTCAGCTTAAAGACAAGAAACACACCTTAGAGTTATTGTTTTTATGATTTCTGTGTTTGATGTTGGCTTCTTAGAGCTAACCATCTGATTTTTATTAGCAACCAGTATTTATCCATTTCATGCCCACAACTTTGATAATGTAGATTCTGCAAAGAAAATGGTTTCTCTTGCGTGTGTGTGTGTGTGTGTGTGTGTGTGTAGGAGAAATTGAATTGTTTCTTTCGGTTTTGCTCTCTGATGTTGGGCACATGGAAACAATACTGTGAATTTGTCTGGTGGTAGGATGTTGGAAACTGGTAACTACATATTTTTGTGAATTTTGTTGGGGGAATGTAACTGGTTTCCATACAGAGCTACAAGTTGTCCAGGGTAAAAGGATTCCTGCAGTGTTCATTGCTCTCTAATGCTATTTCTGAGAGTGTATAAAGTATGTTGAGGTGCTGTCTTACGTTAGGTCTCTCTACTACTTGCTCCACAAAGCCTTTCTTCTCTCAGGATTTAGTTGAGCCACTACTGTTAAAGCTCTGCTACCCCAATATTTCTTCTTTCTTTGGTTTGGTAAATTCAGCAGGTTCCCAACATGCAAAAGTTGGGGTGTTCGTTTTTTTCTCATTCAAAAATGGACCCTTGGAAACAGGTCCAGAGGGACTATCAAGCATTCCGTGTTGGGCTCTGAATTTTCTTTGATAAAGTGATAGTTTTTAAAATATGGACTCCGTGTTGATCGTTTTATAAATGTATTATTGTTCTTTGGAAGATTACATCAAATGAGCATTTACAAAATGAATGTATGTCTGTTAGCTAAAATGGCAGAGACTGCATGTTATTGGCCAAGTAAGTGTTCTTTTTTAAAAAAAATTATTTACATGGAATGTGGAAGCTGGAAAGGATTATGTAGTCCAACCCCCTCATTGTGCAAACCAGAGATTACAGGAGAAAAAGGACCTGACTTGCCTAAGGTCATGAAGGGAAAGTTGCCAAGGGTCAGCAATCGATTTAATCCTGGGGTCCACCAATTGGGACCAGTTGTGCTTGGGGATACCTGAGAGATCTAAGACCTAGTTAGAACAGAGGAACAACTGGAAAGGAACTGGAGAAAGGGAGACTAGTGAAAGAGAGTGAGGGAAAGAAAGATGTATGTGCAAGGGAAGATTAGAGTGATCTCCATCAGGGCCACAGAGGCGGCATTGCCAAATCAGTGCAGCCTTTAGCTAGATGCCCTTTAACATGAGAGCTTTGAAAAATAGCTTTGACAATTAGAACAGAGTAAGAACAATTCTTCTCTTTTTAAATGGCTTAATTGAGATATAATACATATGCCATAAAATTCACCCATTTAGGCATACAACTCAGTGGCTTTTAGTGCATTCA